ACTAGATCAACGATTTCCCACCGGCAAAAAAATCACTGAATTGCACGGTCACTGTTGTGTGTAAATGGACCCTAAATCATAGTATGCCGCTTCTTGCATAATGTATGGTGATTTTTTTTTCTGTAGCTCGTGGCCTCTTTTCTATAGGCTGCGGGTGTTGGTGTAAGCCCACAGCTCCTTGGAGACTCGAAAACGAATCCGGACAGGTCGAAAAACTAGAAACTTTTCGGGGTGGTCCGTCCCAATTTCAACATTTAGGTCCAGTCTCTCTCTACCTGGCCTCCCAATTGCTGGAATACTCACGATGGGCTTGATTAAAAGGTCGTCTTAGTGCTCATAGGCGAAGAGTGTGAACACTAACATTTTTATTCTGAATATTCATTTTTAACTGCTGATTCGACACTTCGAGCAGTTATATAGCAACAGTAATAATTATCTCTTTTGCTAAAAACCTGTAAATTATTCATTTTCATTTCTATTATAGGGTACTTTTTATGAAATTTTTATTAGATTCATTTGAACATTCGTTTATAATAATTAAAGTATTTTTTATGAAGCTAATGGTATGATCATTTTTATTCATAATTGTTTCAATTTTTCAGTAATTTATTTTCTTGAATTATTCTTTAACGAGACACTGAAATTAATACAAATTCCTGTTATAGTTCTTATTCATATTTAATAAATAGCCATAAAAATACATTTAACTTTATAATAAAATCAAAAGAAAATAATAAATCAAATTCTATTTTTCATAATTTTGGTAAAGATGAGTTGTTGACCATTCACATTTTATAAGACTTTTTTAAATACTGTATACATCATAATAGCTTCTAAAGATATTTAATACAAACTTTGTCATTGAAAGGAGGACTTTATGACAACTATATATATATTTTTTCAGTTTTTAGGATTATTATGCTTGGGCCTTATATTATACTACTGCACTCGGGATCGTTTTGGTGTAGCGGAATATCAAGGATTTAAAGGATCATTATCTGAAACCTATTTTTTCCTGGTAACATTCAGTTGTTTACATGGTACTGCGACTCTGTTAATTTCTTACGTGATATCCTTATCAACTGCAACAGTTTTGCCGAAAACTACAACTGTAAGTGTCAGAATTTAAGTGTTAAACAATGCATTATATATTAACTAGCCTATATTGAGTTATATGGTAATTTTAGTGTTTAATTATGCATACTGACATTACTAAATTATAAATGTCATAACATACGACTATATAGAATATTAGGAAATATATTTAAAATGATATTTTATAATTAGGAGCTGATTTATCATGGATTTGCTTCCGTTTTTTATTTGACAAGTAGCTTGGCTCTAATGATAACAATAATACAGAGAAATAGTAAACTGGTATTATATCGGGAAAGAGGTTATGCTGGACTTATAACTGCTTCGGTAAGTATCTGAATGTTGTAAAAATAAAAATTTTAAAGAAATTATTTATTAAAAAAAATATATTTTACGAAACGCTTAATAATAAACACAATGCGTGAACGCTAATGGAAGATGAAATTAATAATGCTTCATTTTTTTGTAAGAGGAGTTATTAATTTCATTTCCAGAAAAGCTTCGTATAGAAATATATTGATCTTTAATAGACAAAAGTGAAGCTTAAGTAATTTTAAATCTTCAAATATAACATATGAAGCGATTCTGACATTTTAATTATATATATATATAGGCCTATATAAAATTAATATAGCATGTGCAGCTTTTGTGAATATGCAACACAGTATATGTCTAGAAAATAAATATTCGTATTGCAGTTATGCACATGAGTCATTGCTAATATTGATTTTGTGCAATAACGTTGTTCAGTAACTAACATTTTAATACGTTTTTTTCAATTTTAACGTATGTCATACACTCTCGATTTAAAGAACTTGCGTAAATAAATCAAAAGCATACAACGTCCGGTAATCCGCACCATTGGTCCCGTATAAGCCGGATTAACGAACTTCTACTATAGTTCAGTTTAATCTCTACATCGGTTCAATATATTTTTATTTATATTTAATACTAAAAAACAAACAAAATGCGTAAGAAATTTCTCAAATTCATTAATACTATTCGCGAATTAATGATGTAATTTGCTATTATTTCTTTAATTTTATAGTTGTTTCCTATTAGTTTGCACATAAACCGAAAAAATTTTTTTTCTGTTTCTGACGTTTTGTAATATTTAGTTCTATTACATTATACTTTCTAATACAGTCGATCCCAGAAATCTAATACACTTAGATTTTACAAATACGTGTGCTGGGCTGTGAACGGCTCACGTATTTGTAAAATCTAAGTGACTCGTACAACATGGAATTCATATAAAACGGAATTATCAACAGTGTTATAGGGGGGTCGGCTGTATTTTTCATAGTTATGGAATAAAAATAAAAACCGAATATGCAAACTTTCTATAAAAAAAACCAAGCAGACTAGATATATGTTGTAAATAATTTAGTTTTAAAGCAATACTTTTTCAATGAATTTTTTTTACTGATATATTTATAGTAAAATTTCAATTTTTATTTCAGGTATTTGGTTTAATAAACACGGGCCTTTACGTGACCAGTTTTATGTATTCCTACATAATGTTTAAAGGCACATAAGTCTTAATATATTTGTTCTAATTATATATATTCGTTATTATGCAATCTTTGTTAGTGTCGTCGTCATATAATTTATATTCCTATTTTATGTTGTGTTTTTATAAAATTTCTATATTTTATTCGTTTTGTATTATAAAGTTAATAAAATTATTCCATGATAGTTTACTGGCAAAATACCTTTTTAATGCACCATAAACTCTCAATGCTGCTTCAATGCAAAAAGTGTGTACATACCGGAAAGGAGTCATCTGTATGGCACGTCACCAAATCACGTGAGAGTGATGGGGAAAAAATATCCTGGGACCGATTTTTTTAGTTTTAGAGACAAGAGTTTCGAACGAGAGAATCAGTAGGGTTGAGGAAGAGCGAAGATGCCAACAGTTGTAGTAACTCGACCACAAACGCAAGTTCCTCAAAGTGGATGCTGTTCCTGCTTACATACAGCATTCCTATCGGAACGGGTTGGAGTTTGCAAGCTTGCAGAAGTTGTAAGTACAGTACATACTTATAACAATCTATATATTGTCTTTGTTCTCTACATATTTCGGTAAAAGCGTTTAATTTTAATTATATATATATATAGGCCTATATAAAATTAATATAGCATGTGCAGCTTTTGTGAATATGCAACACAGTATATGTCTAGAAAATAAATATTCGTATTGCAGTTATGCACATGAGTCATTGCTAATATTGATTTTGTGCAATAACGTTGTTCAGTAACTAACATTTTAATACGTTTTTTTCAATTTTAACGTATGTCATACACTCTCGATTTAAAGAACTTGCGTAAATAAATCAAAAGCATACAACGTCCGGTAATCCGCACCATTGGTCCCGTATAAGCCGGATTAACGAACTTCTACTATAGTTCAGTTTAATCTCTACATCGGTTCAATATATTTTTATTTATATTTAATACTAAAAAACAAACAAAATGCGTAAGAAATTTCTCAAATTCATTAATACTATACGCGAATTAATGATGTAATTTGCTATTATTTCTTTAATTTTATAGTTGTTTCCTATTAGTTTGCACATAAACCGAAAAAATTTTTTTTCTGTTTCTGACGTTTTGTAATATTTAGTTCTATTACATTATACTTTCTAATACAGTCGATCCCAGAAATCTAATACACTTAGATTTTACAAATACGTGTGCTGGGCTGTGAACGGCTCACGTATTTGTAAAATCTAAGTGACTCGTACAACATGGAATTCATATAAAACGGAATTATCAACAGTGTTATAGGGGGGTCGGCTGTATTTTTCATAGTTATGGAATAAAAATAAAAACCGAATATGCAAACTTTCTATAAAAAAAACCAAGCAGACTAGATATATGTTGTAAATAATTTAGTTTTAAAGCAATACTTTTTCAATGAATTTTTTTTACTGATATATTTATAGTAAAATTTCAATTTTTATTTCAGGTATTTGGTTTAATAAACACGGGCCTTTACGTGACCAGTTTTATGTATTCCTACATAATGTTTAAAGGCACATAAGTCTTAATATATTTGTTCTAATTATATATATTCGTTATTATGCAATCTTTGTTAGTGTCGTCGTCATATAATTTATATTCCTATTTTATGTTGTGTTTTTATAAAATTTCTATATTTTATTCGTTTTGTATTATAAAGTTAATAAAATTATTCCATGATAGTTTACTGGCAAAATACCTTTTTAATGCACCATAAACTCTCAATGCTGCTTCAATGCAAAAAGTGTGTACATACCGGAAAGGAGTCATCTGTATGGCACGTCACCAAATCACGTGAGAGTGATGGGGAAAAAATATCCTGGGACCGATTTTTTTAGTTTTAGAGACAAGAGTTTCGAACGAGAGAATCAGTAGGGTTGAGGAAGAGCGAAGATGCCAACAGTTGTAGTAACTCGACCACAAACGCAAGTTCCTCAAAGTGGATGCTGTTCCTGCTTACATACAGCATTCCTATCGGAACGGGTTGGAGTTTGCAAGCTTGCAGAAGTTGTAAGTACAGTACATACTTATAACAATCTATATATTGTCTTTGTTCTCTACATATTTCGGTAAAAGCGTTTAATTTTAATTATAAAGAATTGTTTCAATAATTTTTAACAATTTATATATTTTATTATCGTTGTCTAATTTCTTAACTCTAATACATTGTTGGATAAAATGCTTTGTAAAGTTATAAATGATCAATACATAAAAGTAAAGGTTTGTTCAGAACGTGCCATTAATGTACGACGATACAAGCAAGATTCAGTGCCATTTGACAAAAATAACTTTATTTCTCCGAGGTCGACAGCCAGACGTCTGTTAAGATTACGTTGCAGACCTTCAAAAAACTCAAAGGTTTTTGACCTGGCCATCCTAAAATATTAATGAAACAATACAATTTTAAACAAAACATTTAAAAAATTGTTAACTTTTGTAAAATGTCTGCTTGCTCTTAAAATTTATTATTTAATTTTAATTCCTATGACTTACATTTCTGTGTAAAATGTAAATCTTGTTTTTTATATATTTTTAAAAACTTTTATGTGTATCTATTGTAAATAAAAGGATTAATTTTACTTAAAAATTAATTACCATTTTATTAAAATATTTATTTTCATTTAGAATAGATACTCCTTTTTTACCGTTGATCCTTCCGAAATTAATTTACCGATCCTTTTTTTACACTGACACAATAAGAATAAATTCCAAATAGAACGGAATAAAACATCAAATAAGAAGAATTAGCCATTAAAATTCAAAAGTGAATTTTACTCTACTAAAATTTTTAAACATTAAATACAATAATAAAATATAATGAAAAATAAATTTTTTTTCCACCAGCATCAGGTTGGGAACCTCTGATTTAGAATGTTTTATAATAACTTTTATACAATTTTACTACGATTTATAATTCATTTTGATTTTTTTAAACGAATTATCTATTTATACTTTATAAAAATATTTCTGTATTCGGAAGTTCATACTTGGCTCACGTGCTGCATTTTTTTTAATTAATGAATAATTAAACTCCTTAGTTTAACTTGGTCTTCAAATTTCAAAATATTTGAACGACTGGTAAATCTACGTTCTTAATTCAAACATTTTTCATAGTTTTATTTTTAATTTTTCATTTTTATAAAATATTTTTTCTAACTGTGTGAAATGCTTTTCTTTTTTATCATTTTATGAAAAGATCCTTTTCCTTTTTACAATTAAATTTTAATGTAGGCTATTTTATCAAAAATATAAAATGTCTCGTTATTGCTCTTAAATCAGTTATTTTGAGGCATTCCCTGCATGTTTAGATAAATTTTCTTTACTTATTACCGTAATAGCAATAAGTAATACTTCTTATATTACTTATTGTTTCCCCCCACATTTGAACGCATTGAAAGATCTGCAAAACTATTGATAGAAAGAATTTCAATTTTTATAAAATTGGCCCAAAGAATTCCTTCCTTTTTAAGCTATTATTTTAAATTAGCGGTTTGCTTCTGTGTGTTTCCAGCATAATTCGATTATTTTAATTATATAATCAGGATTTTAAAGCATAGTTAAAAGAAACTTTAAATTACAATATTGGAAAAGAATAATAATCGTGGAAATGATTGGGTATTAATACTTAAGCAACGCGCTGGATCAAAAGTTTGCTTTCAGTCTGCAAACTGTTTTCTATTAGTTGAGAGCGTAAACGATTGATATGCGCTATGATTGAGATGAATTAGTAATAGGAATTAAACGCATTCTGAGGAATCAATTTATGCATATCGTATCGAAAAGTAAGTAGTTTTTTTAAGCAAAAATACTTGGTTCTGCCTGTATATTTTAGGAAAATAAACGCGCATTACTACGTACAGTACCTTCTCAACGTTTCGCGGATGTTCTAGAATTTGTCTGAAGACCCCAGTTTGAGAAACGCTGCACTAAATGATGATATATTCATTGTAATAATTAAGAATATATATAAAAATTACGATCATTTTGATAAAATTAATTTAATACTTCGTAAATGTTAATTTTAAGTTCTCTTCCTTCTGTACAGATGTGTCCGAACTTTTCTTCTAGTGGCCCAATATTTTTCTTTTTTTAAATGATGTGTCTGTTTAAGAATACAGAAGTCATCGCTTTAACGTAAACCTGATGCGATTTAAGTCACAGCAATAACATCTTAAAATAAATACGATGTTTTTAACTTGACTAAACGTATAGGAATTAGTTATGACCTACTTTCAGTCATTTTTACGAGATTTTTTAATATATAATGAATTTAGTGTTTCAAAATTGTCATTTCTACAATAATTTCAGGAAATAACTTTGTGTACGAAGTAAAATATAACAAATCAAAATGCAAAAATATATTTGGTCATTACTACTATTATATTGTTCAAAAATATCTGCATAGATAATTTAAAATTTAGAGCATTTACATTTTTATCGGGCTTAGTAAACTAAGTATTCAGATTCAATTATTTTTACAATTAAATTCCACTTTACATAAATCTTGAAGTTTATTTCAAAAACAACTTTACAAATATAAATACTATTTTTTAAAAATAATAACCAATTTATATGAATCTTTTAAATTTAAATTATTTGTTTTGATCTAAGAACAATGTTGAAATGTATTAATTATCGATCATCTATGAATTCCTAGATTATAACATTTATCAATTCGATTAATTAGAAAATGATCGAAATTTGAATTTTTATTAATTTTTCCACAATTAAATTTAAAATCTTTGTCATTATATTTAATATATATTATTTTTGTTATCGTACAACAAAACAATTTTTTTTTTATATAACAGACAGATTAAATTTAGATTAGGTAAATATCTTTTATTAAATTGTTACATAATCTGTATTAAATTATAAAATGTTCAAAATTTCATCTAAAATCAGTTTATTAGCGAGGTTGTGGCCGAAGTTTTAAACGCGAAAACGTTTCCTGTAAGCCTAGAAGTTTCACAATGGTCGAGCATGATTCCACTATCCAAACACAATTGTCAAACTTCTAGTCTTACAGGAAAGCGGCGCCGAACATCGACGTACACGTTTTAGGGTTTAAAACTTCGGCCTGAACCTCTCTGTTATCAAGGTAAATAAAGTTTTTTCTTAATCAGAAAGTTATATAAGTTTTATAAGATCATGAATATTTTTATGGTCGTAGTAATTTAGCTGAATAGCTTTCTGAAATTTATTACAATCCATCTTCTTTCTGTTCATTTCCCATAAAGATCACGAAAGTCCAGATCAGAGTCAAGTTCGGTTTCCTTGTATCAGAAATAAAACATTTTTCAACGGATCGTGTCTCCAATTTTTAAAGGACTTTTGATTTTATTGCATTAAGATTTGCATGTGAAATTCTTTTAGGACCACAAAGTCTCTCGCGTGATAATAGATGTTCACGAATGAATTCTTAATTCACAACGCAGTCTAGAAGGATCTCATCAAAATATATTAAATCAAACACTTTTGAAAATATTTTATATTTGAATCAGTATAGTCAACTTACACTGTGTTTAATAAGCGAATTTTATATGCTTTGTTTCATTTGAAAGTTTATAATGGTTCTTGTTTTCTTGCTTTTCTGAAAAAAGTTACTTATAATTTTATGATTTAGGTGTCTATTTTTATATTTTTTAGTGCTTCAACTAAAGTGATAAAATTATTCGTTTATTGATCAGATTTTCTTTTTTTTTTTTAAATCTTTCCTATATTTACAAAATTTAGTTCGAGAATCAAATAAGTGTTAACAGATCCTTTAACAAAATAACTGAATACGGCAAGCCTTTGATTTAACNAACGAAAATGAAAATTTGCTTGATAATTCAACTACGCTTGTTGGAGAACAATAAAAACACTACACTCAACAAGCCACCAATAAAACTCAACTGCCTAACCTATAACCAAAGTCTCCTTTTAATTTGTTTTTAAAAAAAAGCGCTTGACAAACTTGCCCCGCATGCCGAAGTTGCCCCGGTCTCCCCTATATATTACATTTTCAAATATAAAAAATTAGTCCATCTCTGGGTTCTTCACATAAGTACCCTTTTTACACTACACAACAGTTCTACACAAATACCCTTTGGGTTCTTCTGGATCTGTCACTGCATGCTGCTGAGAGTTGATTTAGACCATAGGTTCTCAAACTTATTTCGACCACTGCCTACTTTAAGATTAAAAAAAATCTAGTGCCCACATATTTTTAACTTACCTTTATACATTACCATCTGTTGCATATCTTAAAAACAGTTATTGCAAATATAATGTTTAAACATGCATTATTATATGGATAGGATAGATAGGGTGTGACCCATATCCTATTTCTGAGATGAAAGAATGTTTCAATGAGAAGAAATAAAACTCATATTTAATCACTGAGCCTTCTACTGCCCCCTGAAAGCCTCCAGCACCCACAAGGGGACATTATCGCCCACTTTGAGAAAGGATGATGTAGACTAATAACTGACTTTTTCCATTAATGTAATGTTATAATACTTTTGCTTTGTTAATGGCAAAAATTCATTTAAGTGTAACACTAATGTTTTGGTGTAGGTAATCATGATAAATAAATGGACCTTTAAGTTACCTAATAACTTTAAAAATAATTTTTTTCATAAATGAGTATAATTTGAAAAAATTTTTTAACTGAATTACAATAACTTGAGTCCTTCATTGTATATGAAAAGTTGTTTAAATTACAATAAGCTCAATCCAAAACAAAATTGCTAAAATGCTGGAAATTTATAATGCAGAAATTTTTAATTACAAAGATGGCACACTTTCTAAGTACTTAGAGATTATTCTGAATATAAACATCTTAAATCTGGTAATTATACATATATTAAAGCCAAATGATCATTTGGCTGTAATAGATTGTTCTGAAATAATTTTGTACTTTTAATTTTAATATTTAATTCCATTATGAATTTTTTGACGAATATAATTAATCAATTAAGTCAAAATTACAAAATAAAAAGATGCTACTTTGGTATTTGTTGATG